CCCCACAGAGTCACTTGACGTCACACTGCCTCCATTCAAACTGGATACAAGAGAGGGCTCGACATCTCTGTCTGCTGTTCCAATCCTTCCTGCAAGACGATGGCATCAAACAAATCTTACAGCGTACTTACACGTGTATTTATAGCATAGACAGTTGTTTTTTTGCTGCACGTGTTCAAATGATGAAAATATGAAAATTGAAAAATACAGCCATGATTTGCCACATGAACCAAAAGCAGCTGGTCAAACCTTGTCCTGTTTGTTCAATGAAGCTAACCTCCAAATCCGAATCAGAAAGAAAACTCACAACCTCCACAACCAGAAAGTGTTCATCCATCTTGTTTTTGTCATCTGAGCCCTCAGATTTATCCTCACATCTCCAAGGGAGCTGCAAATTCTTAGGTTAACCCCTTCAGTGCCACTGCTTGGCTGGTTGATCTTGAATTAGGAAGGGTTTGGGGTTATGCAGAGTTAAAATTGGAAGGGTTACAATTAATAGTTTCCATTATATATTACTGGGGGGGAAATCACTTCAAAATTCAAATAGATAGATAAATGTGACAGAAACAACACAAAATATAGCATCACTTTTGATGCAATGAAGACATCTCTTTGAGTGTTCATTCACGTTTAAAGTGTCTGTTCAGATTTTTTAAAGTGGGGTTCTGTGGAAAACGTGGACAGATCTTTGAACAAACTGAGTTTGTAAAAATGAGATTTGTTTTTGACTGAGCTGACTTGTTTGAGCAGGGCCAAGATGAAAGTAGAGGGCATTTGTTAAACAAGAATAAAACATAAGGAAGTGTCTCAGACTGCAAAACGAATGCTACAGCCAGCTGCTGTCGTTTATGTTTGCAGAATTATAAAACTATCCACAAAGCAAAATCGACAGTTATGAACAGAGCCGGCTCTTGGCATAGGCGAACTAGGCGGTCTCCTAGAGTGCCATCTGCTGGAGGGGGCGCCAAACTGCAGAAGAAAAAAAGTAATTATRTGTAATCCCTGGTTGTAACTCTGCTCAGCGCCCCTTTCAATTAGCTTTGTCTTAAAAAACTATAATGAAGTATTACAGGAAAAATAAACTACTCTACCCATAACACATCCCCCACCCCACCCATGCAGCAATCGCCTTCACCCTCTCTCTCATTTGAATGATGTTGCACTGACTCATCTTGCTCAGACGCTCTGACGGGGGAGGGGCTAGTAGTGCCTCTCAGGTAGCGGTTCGTGTTGACAAACTCAATAACAACAAGTCTGTATTATGTTGTCCCCTACATGTCAACCTCTTCAGACGATTACGTGTGTAAAAAGCCTCAAAAATCCACAAATTTTGCCCCCAAAAAAATCCATACAACTTGCGGGGTGGGGGGGGGGGGGGGTCAGCCTCACTGAGGATGTGAAAGCGCCCATTGAGGAAAGGAGAGCGGAAAAAGTTAAAAACAGGCAGAACAGGTTGGATGGTGGCCATTTAATGTTATTCATTGTTTTTTTTGAATCTTACTACAGGCTCTGACATGTTAGATAAATTTGAAAATGAGGTTTTTAAAATATCCATAAGACTTGAAAAAATCTGTGAGATTGCTCTATTTGTCCATATACCTGCAAAATGACGTGAAATCCTTATAACCTACGGACAATCTGTACAAGTTGACATGTATGTTGTTATTTATTTGCTTTCCCAGAAAGCAAA